GCATGCCTTGAAACATGATTCGTAATTTGTTCAGAAAGGGACAGGAGCCAGGAAAGGATGTGAAGAGAAGCAGGCACTGTTGGTGCAATTGATGAATTTTGCTGTAATATTGCAGCTTGATTAAAAAGGGAGTCCAATAAACAGGAGTGGAGTAAGGAAGAAGGAGACTGCAGTAGCCAGGCAGAGAAGAATACAGCTTGCAGTGTTTCACAGCTGAGGCAAAGTAGAATGGACTTACGGGGAAGACCTAGCAGATCTTATGGTAAAGGCCTTATCACAACCTGCTTACATGTTAGTGTAGTTGTCAGATATGGTGAGTCTCATTTGTTCAGCTAACCACTTACACAGTCTGAAGACAGGTTTTTTTGCTGTGGGTATGCTTAGTTCATTCATTAGTCATCTCTCATTTCGATTACTGTAATGGCTTCTGGCTAGATGTTGTCCTTCTTCTGCTCTTCACTTTCAATCTATTCAGAAATCTGCCACATACATAGTATCTTGTCATCTTCTCTGTTCACTTCGTTTTGCTGTCAGATCCCCTTAAAACTAACTTTAAACGTCACACTCAAGATGAAAGCAAAGCCACACTTAGAATTCCTAGTTAATAGAAATGGTTGTTTGTCCTATCTTGTAGTTATTTCATGAAAAGTATTTTAAAAGCCCATCACTCTTGCAGTGTGACAGTCACCTTGGAGTTCTGCAGGATCTGCATGGCAGTGAATGCTCATAGTAATTCACAAGACTTCTGCTCCCTCTGTGTGTGGTCCTGCACTGCCAGCTGGCTACTACAAAGAGAAGAGATTCAAAATTTCCTTCCAGAAGAATGGGAGTGGTGCTTGTGCATGTATTGCATCTGCTCCTGCCTTGAACAGAGGAAGAGGGCAAGTTGCTGTTGGTGTGTTGGTAGGAAGACAAGAATAACTTTAGGTTACAGCGGGTATGCAAAGTTGCTGTGGAAGAAAGCAATAAAATGGCAGCTTTGGTGTTGGTTGTGGTTGTGTTGGTTGTGGTCTGAAGAGCAGATTGTTGCCTTCTCTTTTTCCAGGCTTTTATTTCTGAAAGGCATCCAGTAGGAGAGGGCTCAGAAGGTGAGGCAGAGAGGTTAGGCTACACTATGTTACTGGCTGGGGAAAGAAGTTGACTGCAGTGAACATGGGGATCTGACAATTGTGGACCATCAGTGTGGGTTATTTTGAGTGAAGAAAAATGGCTATTAGAAGGAAGAGGATTGTCAACTTATAAGGGGGAAGTAGATCAGATTAACAGGTGATTGTGATCACCTTGGAAAGAAATCTATCACTGGATTCCATCTGTGTCGTTTGCATCTGTGACTGTCCTTAAATAGAAGTTACTGGTATCCTGAAGGATGGTAAGAGACGGGAGATTCTCTCCTAATAGGAAGGAGACAAGAGCTTACTTGATTAGGGATTTGCAAATGGAGTGTGATTGCAAATCACTGAAGATAATGAGAGTAAAAATTTACATGTTAATACCAAAATTAGTAACATCAGGAAATACAGTAAGTGAGAAAAAATTCTGAGCCCTGAAAGCTCTTCCCAGGGGCTTACTGGGTGGCAATGGAAGAACTTGTACGAGCAGTGAGAACTCACAGCTCCATGTCAGTCACTGAAAACAGGTCTCAGCAAATCAACTCTGAGGTTGTGGCTCTGCAACTTGCCAGGCTCCAGCAATCTACACAGCACTGGGCTTTTGTCCTCTTTCAAAAAACAGTTACTTTCCAGAACAATTTTTGAGCTTTGAACAGAGTGATACTGCAGTGATTGTGGAAATATAGCCTTTTTCTTTTGTCTAATACTTATCCTGAGTTACAAAATAGCTTGTTAGTATGTTGTCTCAGTACGTTCCTGAGACCTCATCTGTATGTTAGAATAGTTACAACTGGGAAATGCTGTTATAATTCTACTACTGCCTGCTAGTAGAATGGCCAGGAAATAGGGTTAAAATGCTTTAAGATTTGAGAATACTTTTCAAAACATTTTAAAACTGTTTGCTCCTATCTGTGGCAGAGACAAATGTGAGCTGAATTGATCTGTGCCATAGCAATTGTTCTGCTTGATGTCCATGTCCCGTGTCACAGGCCTGTGCTCCTAAAGAGAGCAGTCTTTGTTGAAGGCTGTGTGGAGTATGTCTTCTGGGGCATGGGAAGCCTCAGCAATAATCCCATCTGGCTTTTAGCTTTTCTATCCTAGCTCTCTAGTCTCTCTTTTCCCTTTCTTTAAGGTAAAGAGCAGCCACTGTCAGAGCAAAAGGAACATTCTAACATGTGCTTGGAGTCAGTGGGAAGTGAATGACCCAAACCTGCAAATTGGACTGGGCCCTGTGTGTATTGTTGATCTGCAGGGCTGGGTGAGGAGTGCTCCCTGTTTTCTGTTTCCTCATCTGCCCATGCTGCCCAGCAGCTGCTGGAGCTCAGCAGGGGAAGGCCTTGGGCCCACGGCCCTTCAGACAGAGCGGGCTGTGGACCTGCACTGCGGCCCAGGCATGGTGAGGCCCATGGGGTAGGAGGATGCAGGGCATTTGTGTACAGGTACGGGGTACCAGCAGGGCATTAAGGAGGTGGGACAAGGACCCCCAAGTGGGAACTGCAGGCTTAGGGGAGAAGGGTCAATTTTTCTAGAGCCTGGAGTGCAAAGTAAATTTGGAGGGAGGGAACAGAGAATAAGGCTCATTACAGTTGTGGGGAGGGGAAAGCCCTGGAGGGTGGAATGCAAGGTTTGGGCCAAGCCAAAGTGTGAAGGGTACATGTACATGCACTTGTACATGTGTGTGGGTGGGATAGCTGAGGAAGCACAGGAAGAACACAACCACAGAAGAATAAAGGGAGAAGCCTGATTATAAACCTGTCAGAAGGGTTGAGCTAAGGCATAGCTTGACCAGAAATGGGGGCGTCTGTGTTATGTTGTTCATTATTAAACAGAGAATAACCAGAAAGGAAAGTGAAAATGTACTTTAGCTCTTGGATTCGTGCAGGATATTCTGAGACGTGAAACATGTAAGCAGAAAACATGAGGTTGGCAAGACAGAGTGATCTATCCATGTTAACTTTTGTGTTTGCAAATGAGTAATAAACTCAGAGAAAGACTAATTAGATATGAAAATTCATGTCAATGTGAAGTTTTTAGAGGCTGATTATGATTGAATTATTTTTCTTTTTTAATCCAGTGACTGTTGAGAAACTGAACATTTAACCGGAAAGGTCCTTTGCTCCATGTCTCATTTCTAACGACATTGTTACATTAATGTCTACATTTCTTCTGCTAAATTACTTTTTGATCTGCAGTTCTCCCTGCCTCTAGTCCAGCCTTCCTTTTTTGCTTATTTTCTGTCTATCAAAAATCCTTAAAAAATCCTTGGCTTCAGCAACAACTATACTTCCCAGCCTTGTTTCAGCCAGGAAATTTAGCACTTGCTGTTGTCTGCCCATGATGAAGTTTGTTTCCACAGCATGAGAAGTCCCTAAAGTTCATTGCAGTCCTGTAGTGTCCTAATCTCACTGGCACACACAGTTTGCAGTGTTGCAAAGTCTGTAAATTCAGGGATTTATCATAAAGGGACTTGTTTTTACCAAGAGGCAAAGCTACAATTTTTTGTTGTTGTTGCTTTCTCAAATATCAGATTAGTCTTGTTTGAATTAATTGACCCTGACATGCCGAAATTCTTTTTTTAGGAGGTGTATATAGCTGGCTTATGCAACTTCCTTTAAAATTTAGATTATTTTATACTTTGGTTTAAGAAATTAATCATAATCTTGTTTGTTTCTGTTTATTATTGTTTCTTATGCTGTAGCACATGCTGGCTTACTTTCTAACTTGCCAAAAAGGAAATTAATCTCAACCACTCTTACTGCGTAATCTCCTTGAGGTACTAGTTTGTCTATCAGTAGTTGTTTTAGAATAATACTACACATCTGGGATACTGTCCCAGGTAATGAATGCTATTTGCTCAGCTCACACTTTCCACAGAAACGGGTCTGAGTTAGAGAGCTTTGCAGTGTAACTACTAGGCCAGATTGGTGCTTTCTCTTGTCAATGGGTGATGTAATTCTGAAGGTAGTTCTCTCTCCCATCACACCTAAAAGGCTGCTGGTCTCCAGCTGCTCAGAGTTTGTCTGGGAAAGGTTAGCTTGATATTGACACTGAGTTCAGATTTTAAGTGTGTCTTGGATTTTTCTCCAGCCCAAATTCAGGACCAGAGAGCTACTGAAGGATATGGTGAAAAGCCAGTGCCATGTAAGGGAGTCTGTAGTGGCTTCTCTGTGAGCACTGAGAAAAGAGGTGCAACAGAGCTCCTCCAGCTCGCCCAGTGTTGAACATGGTGTATTCCCTTACAGATCTGGCAGCGAACTACTCCTGTACAGTCTCTGTGTGATGAAGTAGTACTGTTTCAACTTAGAAATCAAGGAGCATTGAGCAACCAAGCACGCAGACTACTGGTGTAACTATCCATACGTTCAGAGCAGGCACAACAAACTGATCCTGTCAAGAGACTGCGGACATTACTTTCTCCATGCCCTGAAAGAGTCACCTTTGTATTATCTGGATGACACCTGTGCTAACTTACTGTCACCTGACTCCATTCTTGGACAGGCACAGGGAAAACAAACATGTCTATCAGCTGACATAAACTAGACTTACGCTTACATCATCCAAATACTGAAAAAACAGTAGACCCAAGCTACCTTGTTGTGTCCTTCTGGCTTCATGTGTGCCCTAAACAGAAATGCAATCAAAAAAAGCCTTGCAGTCCAGAGGCAGTGGACCACTGACCAGATGATCTGCTTTCTTCTCTGAGAAGGGGGAGGTAGAAGCACTTATGTGCTGCTTCCCTGTTCTCCCTCAATAATTCAGCAGCTTGTTTTATCCTTTGCTTGATTTTACTGTAAAGTGCATTCATAGCTGGCTGCTGCTGCCTGCAGTAACAAGGAACAGTATAATAAGCAATGCATTGCTAACATAAGCATGTTTTATTTTTCTTTACAGGTAACTGTGCTGGTCCTTTTTGCCCTTGCGTTCTTAACGTGTGTTGTATTTCTGGTAGTCTACAAGGTTTACAAGTATGATCACACCTGTCCGGAAGGATTTGTTTTCAAGGTAAATTGCATACCCATTCTAGAAGCACAGGAGAGTATGTAATATTCCGTGTTGTTCTCTGCATAACCTTGATTAAGTCATGCTGTACTGCACAGAATTTTGTGATTCTTCTCATAGGTTAGTGTGCTTCCTGCTACGTTTCTTTCTTATTAACTGAGGTCATACTATTGCACAATATTAATAATGTTTTTATTTTGCTAATGCTTTAAACATTGAAAATATAGCAAAAGTCCAAACACTAATGTCCTTCAGACTTCATCTGCAGTTGTCCAGACAAAGCCCTCGTTTATGGGTCATATGGTTTAATGTTGAATGGTCTTCCAAAATAAGAGAATGATAAAACCCGGAGAAAAAAATTTCTGGAATATGTGTCAGAGAAACAGTAGAGTGATGTTCTCATTAAGAGTAGTAGAGTTACATGAGGGTTATTTTTGTAGGAAGAACTTCTTGTTCTAGAACAGTGACCTCCGAGCCCTACTACCACAGGCCAAAAGTGATGCCAAAAAAGGGAAAATACATTTATTGGAAAACAATACTGGTTCTAACCAAAAGGGAGGTTGGGCTGACTTAATTTATGTGAGGTGGTAGTGCTGGCTCCTCAGTTATGACCTGGGCTGAAAGTCAGAAATGTAACATTGATTTCTCAGTTGTAAATTTAGCAGGGTTGAACTTGGCTGTAATTAGATAAGAAAAGTAGCAGTGATGATGGCAGTCTTCCCTCTAATTTTCTAAAAATATTTAGTCACATAATGAATCAAAGGGGTACCCAGTATGAACTTCAAAAGGAACTACTTGACAATTCAGGATTTCTATCTGTCACTGCAGGCACATAAATATCTTACAAGAATCTAGTCCAAAATTATAATCAGTGATGCCCTGTTGGATTAATTTAGCTTCATGCATTCAGTTGGTTACTACTTTCCCAGCAAAAGATACTGTGGTTAGAATACTTGGCTGTAACTCAGGAGATCAGCTTTCACTTCTGCTGTTGGTTTTTTGTGTTGTCTTAGACAAGCACTGAAACCCTTCTGTGCTCATGTCTCGTGGGACAATAGCCCAGTAGCCCTTTTTTCCCCCCTAAGCTTTCTCTTGGCATAGAGGAATTTGGAATATGGACTATATGTTCCTACCAAACTTGTCTTGATGTGACCCTGACTTGACAGGAACAGCCAGTTATGTGCTCCTACGTAAGTCTAGCAACAGTCTCCTGCTTCCTTTTGCACTCTGTTGTCCTCCCCTTGGAGTTGCAGCCTTCTGGCTTCTTTTGGCTTTTCTTGCTAGTGCCACAAATATTTAAGGGAAGAACAGTTTCTTAGCTACATTTTAGTTGCACTGAGTCTGGTTGTGTTTCTTTCCTTAGGGTCCTGTGTTTGGGACAGAAGTTAGGCAGAATGTCCCATAGCTTGTGCTGTTTTTAAGGTGCAGCACGTACACAGGGCTGCGTTATGGTTACTATCCTGGTGTGTTTTTGGAGGCTGCTTAGAGCTGCTTGATTGCATAATGCCAGAAGACATGGCATCTTCGGTAATGTAACTCTAAAAAAGAGTTTTACAGGATAAACATATTGGCAAATGACACAAGGCCTGAAACTACCAACGTTGAGATGAATTTTTATTTGTTTGCCTGTGCATCTGTTTTGGAGGAGAGTCCATGATATGTCATGGCATAGCTTGGCACACATGTCCTAGGAGACCTGAAATCTGTCACCTTGTGAGCAGTGTATCAGTGGACTGGCTTCATCCTTAGGTAGCCTCAACAACATTTCCTGGCCTGGATGTCCCCAGGTTTCAGATGCTGATATGATTTCCTGGTTAAGGGCAAAGGTGTCCCTGCCTCAGGAAGCCTGGTTCTGTAGGAATCTCTACATAAAGGCTGAGCTACTGCAGCTGAGTCAGACTCGCTCTTCTCTGCTTTGATGCTCTCATACATGGAGCAGTTCCAAAAGTTTCTGCTGTCCTATGCCTCCAGGAGTTGAGGGTGTATTTTAAAAGGTGCTCATCTTCCTTTTTACAGCAGTCTTAACCTGCTCCAGCCTTAATTCTATGCTTGCTTAAGCTGAGACAGCCCTAGTACTGCTGCTATGCAGATCGCTCCTATCATCACTCTTCACTGTCTGTTGGTGAGACTCAAAACCCGAGTGCACTTACATCCTGGAGGAATTTCTCCAGGACTTCAATATGCTCTGTACCATATCTGTTACCCTTCAGCTTTTTTTGCCAAAGCACCTGCATTCTGTCAGACTTGTGGACAGTACCACAAAGTCATTTCAGTGCACTGGAGACCACAGCATCATCTGTGTAATTGGGAATTACTGACCCAGCAAAGTTAATGTGACAGAAGATACTATTTATAAGAGAATACCACTGGGGTCTTCATGTCAAAGGAAAAAAAGGAGTCATCTTAATTCAGCCAGATATAGACTGGCAACCAGGGTTTTCTCTGGCATCAAAGGCCATAACCCGTAACTAATTTCCAAAATTGAAGGGCTGTAAAAGAAAGAAGAGATTGACTGTGGAGCATCTCACTTTCTCCTCATGGCCTTCTTACTTCTCTCACCTGGGAACCATGGAAACAAACCAAAAGGATAGAGAGAAATGTTCTGCACAGCTGAAAGTCTTAGGCAAGTGCCAGGATAACAATTGGCAGCAGTTCCCATAGCTCAGTCACTGGCTGCTGCATGGCTTGCCTTGATTGGGAACTAAGTAAAGGGGCTGCTCCTACGCAGAACACAAGGGGCAGTGAGTAAAAGGGGAGATTTTCCCATCTTTTCTAGAAGAACAAAATCCTGGAAGAAAAAATGCAGTCAAGATAGAAACTGCTGTGTGTTTCTTTAGGCTCTTCTGTCAGATGCTGTGCATGTTTGTGACTACAAAAAAAAAAAAAAAAAACCAAAAACCATTACTGAGTCATTTTTGCCTGTTACAAAGCAAATTGCTTCTAACGGCAATGAAAGATTCTGTGGCATTTTTAAGACTGTCAATCTTGCCTTGTCTTCAGCTCTAATAATTATATTTGCTTGAATTTCCTTGGCAGATTTCATTAGCTCAATGGATTGTGTTCCTTCTCCCATTTTAAATATTTAGAATTGTGACTACATCCCATGACTGGGTGAAATAATCACTACAAATATGTCTGTATCTGTATACTTATTAGCCATTTATCACATCAGCAGTAGTGTCAGTTATCCCAGATAAAGCATGGATGATACTTCCAGAAGATGGCATGTTGATGTAATTGAACATGTGTATCAGATAGCTCTATTCCAGATTCCTGGATTATGTTTTTATAAATCTAGGTCCCAGTCTTGCAGCTGAAAACCTCCGCTGATTTAAACAGTGCTGAGCAGGCACAGGTGCTGCTCAGCTGGGGTTAAATCCCTTCTGCTTTGTTGTGCTACTTCAACAAAACTGAGAGAGATTTGCCCCAGCTGCTGCCTTGAGAAAAGACAACAAATAAAGGGAACCTGGGTGGATGTGGTAACTTTGGGCACTATCGAGTCTGACACACTTCAAGGCTTCTGTCACACCTGCAGGTTCAAGCCAGTGAGGTGTTGTCTCTGTGGGAGGGCTGTTAGTTTTGTGACAGTGAGGCTTCTTTGAGCCATCAAATGTGCCATGTGATTGAATTCCCCAGGGGCAGGCAGCTTCATAAGACTACCCATGGGCCTGTTGTTTTGGCAGGTCTCCGTTTTTTCTTTCCTACCTTTTGATGACTTTTTATCACACTAACATTTTTAGGATGCAAAATTTGTATTAAGCCAAGACTGTCTGCTGGATCTTCCTCCTTTTTGTGCTGTATGATTTTAACCAGTTGAAACTGTTGTTACTGGTGCTTATTTATGCCACTTCTCTTTTTCTTTTTGTTGACAAGGACAAAAGTGAACTCAGAAGTAAATGTGGACATAGTTGAGGTAGCATCTGGTCCTAAAACCCCTGGAATTTTTGCACGTGTTTTTATGCTGAGAAATTTCCAGTATTAAATTTTGTTTGCTGAGCTGTAGGAGAACAGTAGCAGTTCAAAGTTGCTGTGCCATAATACTATAAATTTTAGTCCTCTGGTGCTGGAAGCAGGAAGACTGAACAGCCTATTTCTTTTTAAAAGAGCCAGAGCAGAAATGATTAAACTTATTTTTCTGAAGCTGCAGCTACTCATAGCTTACAGAGAGTCAATTCACTTGCTCAAGTGACTGTCCCAACATGCTGAGGTATCAAGCAAGACTGCCTGGACTAGCTGGTGTGGAAAGAGGACCTGCAGAGAAGACCCCATGACCTTATGGGGCAAAACTTATAGGTCACAGTATATGTCCAAGTCATTTTTTCCTTCAGTGCAACCAGCTTCTCTGTAGGCTCTTAATCCACCATCACTGGAACAGTTGCTAGATAAGACCTGTGACAAATGCACTGCACAGGCACACTCACTTTGGGGTTTAAGATGACAGCAAAATTTGGATCCCACTTAGTATTTAACACTCTAAATCACCTCTTTCACTCTCCAAAGCTCTAAGCATCTAGGAGGTTCTATGTAGTGCTCATGCACTCCTGGGAAATGAAATAATGTAGTCCCACAGTTACAGAGAGCTTTTTAAAAGTGTGCTGTTGGCTACGTCTTTCTGACGAAGAGTGAAGTAGTTTGTATGTGTGTACATACTTGTGCATATGCTTGGCCACCCGCAGTGTTTTCCTGTATGTCTTAGTTACTGGGCTGTAAAACTGTTCATACACTGGCACCAGTATATCTCTATTAATTTCCATCCCTTGGACTGCAAACACCATAGTAAATTGCCTGAAGTTAATCTAATGATAGGACACAGACAGCTGTAGTTGTAAACCAAACAGTTGGAACTAAGTGGGCAGGAAAAAACAGCAAAATATGGCTGGAACTAGAGACTGAAAACTTTAAAAAATAATTTTAGGCAAGCATGTTACATTAATTATTCTGGCATATAAACCCAGATTGGTCTTCCTGGCAAAGGCATGAATAGTTTAAGGAGTGCAGGGAAGAACATTTTGAACACAGTAGGACAACACTGTAGTTAATTGCTGTATATTGCATCTTGACTCACAGAATGTGACTGTTGGCTTAGACTAAAAGGAAAAGGAGAAAAAAAATCTAATCTGCTGTTGGTGTGTGTGGGGCTGTATCTGTAATCTAAGAGATGGATTTTCCTTTCAGAATAATCAGTGCATTCCAGCTGGGTTGGAAAACTACTACTCTGAACAAGACTCCAGCGCTCGAGGGAAATTTTACACAGTCATAAACCACTACAACCTGGCCAAACAAACCATCACGCGCTCCGTGTCCCCGTGGATGACAGTACTGTCAGAAGAGAAACTGTCTGAACAGGAGACTGAAGCTGCTGAGAAATCAGCTTAGTATGATAAGCGAATTATTAAAAATATGTAATTTGAAGGTAACTAAGGGACTTCAAGGAACTTTTCATTGAATATAATTATGGATAATTTAGAGGTTACTCATGTTTATGGTGCAATTGCTTCTGTTTGCTGATACTGCTTTGCAAAAAAAAAAAAAACCAAAACAAAAACTTGCTGCAGAACATTCATGGCATAACCCCAGGTGCATATCAGCATTGCTGTAGAGCTTTGACACCATTTTCAATGTTAAAAAAAAATTCAATGCTAAGATATGTTCTTGCAGTTTATTGGATACTGATAGATTTCATCACTGGATTTTCAGGGCTTGGACCTTAGATAAATGATGTGTTCTGTTGTCTGAACAGATACTTAATTTGTTAAGTTTTTTAATTCTCTTTGTCATTTTGCAAACTGAAACACCCCAGCCATAACTAGAGTGATCTCTTGTTTAGCTGAAAGCTGTAAGTAATATTTAGTTTGGGCTCAAGCAAGAATGGTAGTCAGCACTGATGTCGGGGGCATAATGTAATGACTTGTATGGAGAAAGAAACTGTCAGGTCGCATTTTTCCTTATGTTTCCTTTACTGTTGTTTATTTGTAAGTGATAATGAAGTTCTCTGCAACAAGGCATGCTCAATGTTTTCTTATTGCTGTCAACAGGATTTAACTGCATTTCCACTGTGGCTTTAGCATCTTGGTAAGGATGTGCACTGAAACACAAACTAGATAGACATTATGGAAAAACACCGACAGTTTTAGTGGTGGGTGTCGAGGATAGTGTAAAAACTATACAGTTCAGGATGTTCTAATGAGAAATGACATCTTTTGATGATCTTTTGATCATACTTTAAGAGTACATGTAGTCTACTATATCATTTGTTGGATACAGCTGAGGGAGTAATATGTCTAAATTTTCTCCTGTATTACATTCACATTTTCCCTTCTTATTAATTAGAAAGAGCTTTCTGTTTATGTATGGTTTGCAGTTTGATACTTTTTAAAACACAGAGCATCACAAGTGAAACAGTAGCGTATTAGATACCACAACTGGCTGTTTTGAAGCTACATGTGAAACAGAGTGAAGAGTAGAACTGTTTGTGTATGGCTTGGGAGGGGAAAAGACGTAGAAGAATATAGTATTGTGGATGCACGTTAAAGTTCCATTGTAATTACAAACTTACCTATTCTTTGTGTGAAATCATGTTTTCATTTTTATTATAAATCTTAAATATACATTACAAAAAGACATTATTAATTTAACATACAAAATAAGTGTGTGAAGCATCTAGGCAAGCAAGTCACCTTTTTGTTCATGTTACTTGAATGGGACAAGGGGTAGTGGACATGTCAAAAGTTCCTTTTTTTTTTTTGGTAGAGTCTATTAAAAAATTGAAAGGGAAACATCAGTATGGGCTGTTTCTCAAGATCAGTAGTAGAACAAACATGGCCAGCTCTACTTCTGTTTCTCTCCAGCAGAATTGCTTTATCAAAGCCTTTCATTCCAATACAGTAAAAATAACCATTACGACTCAATGCTCAAGGCTTGATAACGAAATGTGCATCACACAGTGCAGCTGTAAAAGGCTGTTAATATATTAAGTCATCATGGTATGTGGAATGCATCAAAAGCAATAAATCATGTGCCAGTTTTTTTCTTTGCATTTAAAAATATCAAGCTTATGTTAAGATCTTCAACACATACCATGTTTGCAATTTTTAACAGGCACCTGCTTTATTGAATGTAATTAATTCACATGTAACTTTTGACATTTTCACTCTGTGCAGAGTAAAGAATAAGAATGATGCTGCTTGTTGCATATAATGTATAGAAATATACATTTCAGAAGAGATATGAAACCACACACATTTCATCCCAACGTATTTACAGAGGACATTCAGATTTTACAGGATGGAAAGATCTGTTCCCCAAGACTGTCCTACATAGAAATGATTCATGATACATCTCCTCCCCTTAAATTTAGGACAATAAAAATTTTAATGCACAAGTAAATACTGATGAGAAACAACTTCTTTTTCTCCTCGTAACAACAAACAATAAAAATTAGTAAGCCTTACAATCTAGGAGAAGCAGATTGCTTATGCTTCTTGAAGTCAAAACCATTTTTCCTCTGATTTAATAGGAGGGAGTTTATTGATTCTTATGTACAGTTGGTTTTGAGGTATTTTTTTTTTTAGTTAACAAACTGCTCCCAGTTTTAGTACTTGGACTTTTAATATTGTCTATCCTTCGGCTTTGTTCCAGCATCCCAGAACATCTGTTTCACTGCACAATCTGTCTATGTTGTATTCTCTCTTTTCACCTAGAAGTAAAGCTCTTTAGTTGACTCCTTATCATTATTGCTACTAAAAAATGAAGCTGATTTCTCAGTCAAGTAGTTTCAAAGGATTAGAAGTAGAGGTCATAGATGTGCAAAGTGATCACTGTGTACTGAAGTGGTAAATAAACACCTGAGACAGTGTAGACACTTTTGCACAGTAACACTTCTCTCTCGCTCTGGGATGGGAGCTGGACTTTCAACATCACAGGTGCGTGGCTGTGACAAAACCAGTATTGTTATTTTTTTCTTCCATTAGCTCTGCTCCAGCTTGTAGCTTTCTTCCCAGCCCTTTTAAAGAGTGTTCTCTGAAGGATTAAGCGTGGTTTTATATTTGACAAACGGATTTAAAATGAAGGCTATTAGTTCCCTCTGCACTAATGGATATATGCACACACTTATTTATTGGAAAATATTTCCATCACAGAGGTATGAAAAAATGCATAAAATATGTAGGTATGCCATATACCCAACTCCATTGGAAAAAAAGTCAAAAGTTTTACAAACAAAGCATGTAGACAATAGTATGTTTAATTAATTATCATACCAGTCCAGGAAAAGCAAGGAAAATGAACACATCACAAGGAAGAATAGGATCCACACTCTAAATCCAGCATTGTTTTTGATGGCCTGTGAGGAAAAGGTTATCCCTGTTACCATCACCAGTAAACACACAGAATTTCAACAATAGCAACCCAGGATGCCTGTTAGGGGCATCACCCTTCCCTCCCACGTGACAAGTAACCATGGTGGTAGTGGATCAAGTGTTGGACTTAATGATCTCAGAGGTCCTTTCCAACCTGGCTGATTCTATGATTCTATGATAAGTAACATAATTTGCCCTTAATTTCAGGTAAATACAGGTCAGATAGGCTGTACCTCTTTAGATTTATCAGTGAAGTCGCACTCAAAATTTTCAAACCAGACATTTAAGGAAGAAAAAAGAAAATCCCAAGATCCCATGCAATGGAACTCAAAACATTAAGAACTACATCAAAAAGTACATGCTTCTAGATTGGTGTCAAGTTCCAAAAGTGAAATTCCATCTTTCTAATAAACATCTGAGTTAAACAAATGAAAAACCACCAAAACCAAACAAAAAACCCCCTGACACCTATGGAGGTTGATATAGCACAGTGAGTGCTCTCACAGCAAGTATTTTTCTAGGGTTCTTCTTCCCAAAATTGAGACCAGCATGTACCAGGGGACCTGGTTTTCACTCTCATTTTCAGATTTACAGATGGAAGATTTTTTTTTTACATGGTAGAAACATCAACGTGAGTGACAAAGTTTTGTATTTAGCACCTTTTGCTAGTTTCTCAGTGTGGTTTAGGAAACTTAGTTCTACCTAAAAATGTGAAAAATGAAGCAAAAATAACTTCAGTTCTTGCCACATTTGATGCACTTTTCAGGAGAGCAGAGCAGTAAATAACATCCTTGAGATACCTTTTCTGTGTGCTCTCAGGAGGGCCATTTACTCAATAGCCTAATTTAGGAACTCTCTTTTTATTGAAATCTCAGTTACTGAAAGAAAACATCCTTTCCTTCTAATTAGTAAGACAGTGGAAGAGATTTTTTACTAGGAACATGTGAGAAGTGTTCAGGATTGCAGAGTCTCTTCTGCTAATGCTTAGCATTTAACTCTAGTTTCAACCATTTCAGCACTGTCTTTTATTGTAGTCTGCAATTTCTGCCCCCTCCCCAGCTTTTTTTTAAAACCAACTTCACAGGTGCTTAAATGCAAGCCAAGTGACCTTCATATTTAAAAAATTGATGAGGCCAAGTAGATTTCTGCAGACCTGTGAGCTATTCAGATCATAGTTAGAACTAATGAGAACCTCAGCTAACTTGAACAGTTTTCCCAAACCCATGTCCTGACACCCCAGCACCCACTGCACCGGTCCTGTGGGGGAGCTCTCACGTGCTGTTTAAAGCAACACTTGGGAAAAACTGCAAGTTAATAGAAACGAGTTTAAAACACAACTTCAAGACATTACCTCTCTTATGTCTTCATTGCCTTCTTTGATATTCTCTGTTGCACCCACAACTAATTGATGGATATTGTCAATATCAGTTTCCTGTTTAAAAAAAGAAATAAAACTGAGAAACAGTAATGAAAGTTAGGAAAAAACCACTTCCAAGCACTTGGAGAACAAGCAGAACTCAAAAATAAAATCAAATCTGGTATTACTAAAATCTTTGTTTCATTGATGCAAAGGTATAGAGTAATTACAATTAAGTTGCAATTTCTTTATCTGTGATTTTATGAGCCTGAATGGAGACCACCAAGATCAACAGGAAGTCTCCCATTTATCCAGAATCAAGTTTAACCTGTCTGATATTTCCCAGCTCTTTTGGAAGAGGTGGCAGCACTTCCAGAAAGGATATTATTAAATAACACATTTAACAGAACACCAGTTCTGAGGCAGAGGAATCATCCTAACACATGTTGTGTTTTCCATTCCCGGTACATACTAATAAGTAACAACAGTGAATATCTTGATTTTGAATTTGAAAAACAAACAAAAATCTCTTCCTTCACATTTGCACCAAAGATTCATTAATCTTATGTTTACACATTGCAGGCAAGCAAGAGCAAAATAGTCTCAAGAAAATCTTCAAGCTTTATTTGCTGCTGCAGTATTAAAATACACTAACCTGTTGCAAGACTTTCTCAGTGAATATCTCTTGTAATCTGGAGATTTCCACCACTTTTCCTTCAATTTGTCTTGGCAAAGAAGAGAAATACTCCATTAGAAACTAAGTGCAAACGTGTTGCTGTTGCAGATTCAGACTCTCCAGCCCAGTAAGTGGCTGTTCAGGAGGCCACTGTTTTGTCAGCCGTCAGTGGGGCAGCACTAGTCTGTGATCAGGGCTCAGACGTTCCTGGTTGGAAAACAACCAGCCCATAGAGAAGCCCTGGAAAAGGCATCACCCAGCAGCGCTCAGCGAGCTGCCTTCACTGCCAGGGGTTCACCTGTCTCCCTTCTTCTGTCTCACATAACAACATCCATGGTGGGCACTAAGCAGTTGATTTTGACATATCCTCTTCATATGCTACTATGAGCTGTGGCACCTCCCCCACTGCTGTCTGTGTATGCAGTGAACCACAGGATATGAGTGGAAAACTTAGTATTTTAAAACTTCGGTAAGGGAGAATGTAAACCTTCCAAATTTAACCAGTACTATTCTGGATAGTTTGTGTGACCCTCAGAATCATTCTTTACTCTGTGGGACAGCACACAGCACCTTTCCTGGGCACTCCTGTTTCATGCCACCTCCTCCCACACCACTCCAGTTGGTGCAGGCAGGTGTCCTGCAGCCAGTACACTGCATGTGGGTGTTGTCCAGGA